GCCCATCCCCAACGCGACGCCATCCGCCTCCATGTCACCCAGATGCTCGGGATGATGAATGGGACTAAATTATTACATCCAACTGTAGCAGGTATATGTGGTAAAAGTGTTTGCAAATCTCATGCATAAAAATTGCCTCAGTAATTGAGGGTAGATTTCCTTTTTCAAAAACAAGCATTATGAATAATTTATGTCACACTTTCAGCTTGTAAATGGTGCAGGAAATAAGCTGCATCCGCAACTCTGAAATTATATTTTCTCTGGACTATCTGCCAGGTGAGCGGTCATCTCCTGGTTATATCCATTTTGTTTGCCTTTACCAATGGTATGAATGAATTTGAACCAGTGTGCTTGATGTACTCAGGTGGGATGAGGCACATTTATACTGTGTTAGAATCTGATATTACATTAGTCATAGTCAACAGTCTACATGCAGGCAACCGCTGCAGAGTCGCCTCTGGTGCAGGCTCAGATCTAAAGTCAGGATAAAGCTTAGAAGGTTAGGAAATACACGCAGATTATGTAAAATAAAATGATGTTGTGGAAGCAATTTTGTTGGTCGTTTGAAATAAATGTATTTGTTGAATTAAAACATGGAAATTACTATTTCCTAAAGTTTAACTTTACACCAAAATTTTGGCTTAAGTGCCACTCCCTGAAAGCCCCAAGTGTGTGTGTGTGTGTGTGGGAGAGACAGCCGAGGGGCAGGAGAGGATGGGGGACATCTCTGAATAGTACATGATGGTTTATGGGTTTAGCTTCAGCATAGATTTGAAAATGAACGGAAGTTTCAAGATTCACTCTCACAAGCTGTTGCTGGGGAGCTGTCCACCTTTCATTAGAAGGTGTTAACCTTTTCAAACGTATATAAATGTCACAACGTAGACACATCGCAAACCACTGACTACGTGAGTATTGGCCCTGATAGGTCAAAGACGGTATATATTTATATAAATATATATATTAGTGTAGTCGACATTACTCATTCCATCTTTGACTCAAGAACATGGACAGTGGTAAACTAAACAAACGATTTCTGACATGCAAAGTGAATTCATCATGTTTCTAAAGTTGTTAGTCTTGTATCTTAATTAAAATTGGTGTTTGAGACAATATGACATGTTTATTAAAACAATGTAAGCTACAAAACAAGGTAGTAAACTTAACATAACTGTTGATTTGAGCTACTGTGTTTAGATGTGTGTTCATTCCGAGTCCTGTGTTTCCTGTTTTATTTCGAAGTTCCGATCTCCCTCATGTGTTTCTGTTCTGATTACTTCCTGCCTTTGTGTGTTTCCCTCTAGTTGCTGTCAATTTAATCTCAGCCTGGTTTAATCTCAGCCTATTTTGTCTCTGTCAGCTTCAAGTTCCTTATCCTGTCTTGTTTTTTCCTGAACATTTTGAGTTTTCCTTTTTTCTTCGTGCCCCATATTTTATGTTTTCATTAAATTCAGTTTTTTGAGATTTGGACCTGCCTCCTGCCTCGCTCTTGCATGTGGGTCCACCTGCTCTCCCTTACAGTGACAGACGTCTGAAGTGTTACAGTATTAATGTAATGAATACCTTGCAAAATAAATGAGAGTTTTTTAATATATATATATTTAAACAATATATGTTTAAACAACTATTACAATCTATTTAGTTGTAAAGTCGTTTTTAATTGATTGTTAGGTAATATAAATAATTGATAACAAATATTATTTTCAAATTAGACGCATTTATATTCATTAAAAGTGTTAAAATATATCTATTTTACAAGATGCACTGTTCAGGCGAGCAGCCATAAGAGACACACACAATAACTAATGATCCAATTCTACATGAAGAAACAGGAGCAATAATGCAACAGTACAGTTTGTCTCATTGTGGCAAAGAAATCAAGACATAAGGATATTACCACACATAATGCAGCTCCATATGGCTGTTGTTTGGTGCTGTTGTTCGCATCATTAACCTGCAGCAGTTAGCTACAGCAGGCATTTCTACCGTACATATGTGTCGGTAATTAGTGCTTTATAATGTTCCTATTCCAACAAACACAGTGAATCTGGCTGTATTTCAACTTTACAGGGTGAGTGGATGTACAGCTGCATGTACAGGGAGTATTTTGGGAAATGCAGATCAGAGACATCACCCCCACTTTTCTCTCTCAGCTGAGGAAGTCTCGGTGATGCAGTAATAAATGTATCAGTGGGGCGTACATGAGCAATCAATCCCAAAATAGAGCGCTGAGCAAAAGAAAATGGTGCGATTATTTTTGTTCCAAAAAAATCACGGGGCGAGTTTCTAAAATTGTCTCCGGTGTCTGGTGAAGTTTTGCATATCAGAAAAAGATATTGTCTTTACAAGTAAGAGAGAAGTAAAGTATGAGACTGTCCAGGGAGTGTATCCAGTATCAATCCACCAGCAGCTGTCAGATAAACCAGGCTCTGGGACAGTGAGAGTCTCCCAGACAGATATGCAGCTCAGGTCAGAGTAAAGCTGCCTGTGCATCCTGTGTCCTGGAAGCTATACCCTGTGGACATGTCTTAAATCCCTTTGAAAGACCTGTGGAACCTGCTGACAAACACACAGGCTCAGTCAGACAACCAGCACCGAACTTGAATGGGAAAAAGTGGAATAAACACTGTGATTAACAGCAGAAACCTTGCTGCTTTTCAGTTACATCCCTATTGACGTCAAAGGATTTTCAAAGCCATTAAATAATTACTCCTTTCTTTTTCTACACCTCAGGGTCACCTGAGGCTGGAGTTGATTCAAACAGGACAGAGCAAGCAAATGTTTGTAAAACCAGTCTTGACAAACTTACTGATAATTGGATGAAATAGGTCCTTGCAGTAGTATTCTTCGAACTTAGGGATAAAGTTGAATTGATCTGTGGTTTTAACAACCTTGGATGAGCAGTAATAGTAAGTTACTAATGATAATAACTCTCAAAGGCACTTTATATGAGTTTAAAAATGGCAAATAATGAGAGAAATATAAAATCAACATCCAATCACACTAACAGGAAATTTGATTTCAATAGTGGTTATTCTTTGGTATGGGCGGTTAGTCTAGTAGAGTTCTGTTTTATTAAGTTTGAATAATTTCACCTCTGCAGAATGATGATGACTAAATCTACACATAAAGTCTGGTGACCTGAAACCTTGAATGAGGAGCTCAAGTTAGTAAAAGATAGAAAAAGAAATAGTTCTTAACATAGAGCAAACCTGAATGTAACAGAGGGAGACACAAGAATATAAATATCAGTTGATTTGGGACTATTCACATTTGATATTATTGGGGTTAGCTCGACCTCTGAATGAACAATGTTGTATAACTTGTTTTGACCAAACTTGGCAGCAAGAGGGGAAAACCATTTCCCACTTGTATCTTTATCTAACCAAAAAGAGCATGTGTACGTACACACATTTCAAGTAAAGACCTCCAAGAATAAGAAACACACACACAATAGGCGGATGATAGCGCACGCTACATATACTTTAAGTAAGGGCTTCTGGGAAAAGGAAACATGCACGTGCACACGTCAGCACTGGTAAAAAGACTCAGATTGAGAGACATACATACTGATGCAGATGTTGGAATAAACAGACTCTTTTGAACTGCACTTCTGTCTCTGTGTATTTTTTACAAGAAATCTCCAACAATACCAAATGTTCACTATATGTCATATTAGCAGCTACTGTATGGTTTCGCTCTGGGAAGAATTAAGGTGTGAACTTTATTTAATGTTTCATTTGGGTCATTGTTGATGTACGGTGAGGTTATGGTTGATGTTAAAAACACTACATCACTGACCCATTTAACATATCGAGTTCATGTGCTGAGTTTGGATAGAAATCAATGTGATCCGACCAAAGTTCACATGTTGACATTGATTTAACAAGGGTCCCAAGTGATTACTCGAGTTATGACTCTGCACCATGTGGGGGAAAAGGGCAGAAAAAGCATGTGTTTGAGGTGAAGTGTGTACTAGATGGCCCTACTCAGTCAAAATGTTGATGACAGCATACATGTAGAAAAGTTGTTAAGGCAGAGCTCTTTTACTGACGTTTGGGAGCAGAATTAGCTGAATGCAAACAGGTTACTTCATTGAATATGATCAGTCTGATAATCAGTCTGTTATTTTCCATTTACAGAATGTAACAGCTGAGAGAGGTAAAAGGAAAAGGAAGTCAGAGAGGCAAGGTCAGAGGAGCTATGAGGGACAGATGAGGGAGAACTCCTGGAGCTTTTGTTCTCAGTATGTTGGGTAAAAACATTAGAGCTTACAACTAATCACCAATATTATAATTTAGCCAAAATAATATTACAAATACATCAAATAATAAAGATGTTACTCTCTTCTTTATGCCTGCAGCATATTCACTTTTCAGGGGATGACCCTAGAGGAGCGCAGGGAGCTGACCAACCAACTCCTGGAGAGGCAGCTGGGGGTTACTCTATGTTGCCTTGATGATGCTTCAGTGCAGGCCTGGTGACCCACCTTTTGCTGGGGTACCATGGTGTACTTGTGGTAACTGTAGGGACATGCCTACAGACAGGGAGAGGAAATACTGTAGCCAGGATCATGAAGAATGTGTTAGGTGACTACCACACCTCTCCCAGTACGAAGGTTTTACGGCATTACGATGAGGAGGCTACGGTAATAGGCTATATTCGAGAACCAGGGTAGACAACAGGGAATACTTTTAAGCTGCCTAGCGCCACTTTTTTTATTAGTAACATGGCTCTTTAAGTCAGGGAAACTGTCTTATCATCTCCAGCTGCTGTGTTTGTAGAATCAGTGTTCCCTGATCCACAAGGACAGAACACAGGTTTCCTTCCTGGCCTCTTGGGTTTCCTTTCAGGCCCTCTTCATACATTAAATCTAGTATTCTCACATCAAAGCATCAAACACACAGTAAGTGGATATGATTATTATTTCTCGTGTTTATTTTCCTATTTTTACACATTTGTCTTGTAAACGAATAATTAATTTATATATAGTTCATATGCAATAATACTAAATTAACAAAGAAATTCCACAGATTAGCTGCATTCTTTTGTACATAATTTACACATTTATCAGCAAGTCTGTGTGCCGGAGATGCATCATGATTCAGCTGTGCCATCTGGGGTCATCTGGACGAGGGCATGACAACCTCCTCTCTGGAAGATTCCTCATCACCCGCTCCATGGAGTAGAGGTCTTCTTGAAAACAGTGGCACAAATTATTCATATGTTGTGCACAGACAGGAGAAGATTTGATTATCGGTTAATAATTAATAATCATCAAATATGAACATTAATATTAATGCTATTATTCATCAAAATGAATGATGGGGCACCACCCTGGTTTCAGGGACCAATAATCAAACTGTAAAGCAGTCTCAGTTTAACAAGTTCAATTAACAATATCAATATTTATACATTTTTATAAACAGTGAAGGTTTGAATCCGAGCACTGTCACAATCCAGCTGTATTCACACACATATGCATAAATAATCTCAAACACTGGCTCTTTGATGTATCAAAAAAGTCATATGAATTCACATCAATAATACTAAGGCCAACAAATATCTACTGTACGAAGAACACTACCAACACAAGGAACTATGCTAATGATGAAGAATGGTAAATGGCGCTGGTGACTTCGTATCACCATCCAGATTCAATACGGCGGCTGAAACGCATGATCTGAACAAGGGGAGGTTGTGGCTCTAGTCGCAGAATGGCGGTGTGTGAAGTAGTGGGTCACACTGTCTGGTCCCCAGAATATATACACATGTGATTGTGTAATATGTGGTTATTTTAACACACAGTACTGAAGCAGTGAAACTGAGGTCTTCCAACACATAAAATACACGCTATTGCTCTAACGGTGGCGAGTCTAACAGTACGCCAGTGCTGCAGGAACTGCAGACTCTATAACATGGTGCAACAACACAGTAATACACAAACAATGGTGGACACAGCGGTCCAACACGATACTGTATTCAAAAAAACTAGTCTCTAACCAGACATAAGCCTCTTATTCTATACTGCTCTGTAGTCTGTTATCAGTGTTATCAGTGTGGTCCATGGCTGAAAGCAAGCAGAGGGACGGTATCTTGTCCCAGGAACAGCAGCGATGAGCTGGTTTCCTCAGTGGCAGCAGTGGGAAACAGCTAAGTCAACAAAATGAGGGAACTTGGTCCGTTCTCCTCGACAAAGTTTTTCGTCTGTCTGCAGACAAAACAGCTGACTGTGTGTAGCTGACTGTGGATCCAATAGTTGGCTTGTCCACAGTCTTGACAAAACAATTCTTTTTCCATTATGACAGAGTTCTAGGATGTCTGTTGCTTGAGAGTGCTGACAATATTGATTATCTCCTTGGTGTCATTTTCCATTGTGGTGCAGCTGCAGTGCTGTGCTCATATCTGCCATTGCGTCATGTATTCAGTGTATAAAAAGAGAAAACAAATTCAAGTGAACAATTCTTTACATAATAGTAGAGGAAATATTAATCAACAGCACACCTTATAGAAATTGTTGGGAGATATTCTTCATCTGAGCTGTCATCCCTCACTCTGGCTTCTTTTTGATGAAAATCATAGGAACTTTAATTTACCATATCCATTCTGTAGTGAAAGACATATACAGAATAGACATTCATTAAGAAATGCTTTCACACCGTTCCACAGATCTTTAAAAACATTCTCCTCCATTTCCTCCTCTGCAATGTTCATATTATGTAGGCTGTGAAAAGAAATACAGTAAAGATATTTGACGTAAACTTAATGTGAAAGTTAAAACCTTTTTTAATAAAATTACAAAAGTCTTGTTAGAGCACCCATAATGTCCACATCAGAAATGTGCACCTTAGCCCTCCATAAACCCAGGGAAAGCAGTAACATGTAAAATAAACACATCACATGTAATGATAGGAAGCTATCACGGTTAAACTGTTACCTTTGCTCAAGGCCCCTGAATTTCTGGGTCGTCCATGATGTTCATCTCAGACCAATTCGTCCCCAGGATTAGGAGGTGGGCAAGGCCAGAGCTAATAGTGTCTCTGATGTGTTGTTTCCCAGATTTCCACTGCCACCACAGGATTTTGAGAATATCACCATGCACACACTTAATATTCACCCAACATGCCTCCAACAAAGCCCCAAGTGGAACCATGACTACATGTAGCCAGATTCCACCCTGGCTTCCCCCCCCCCCCCGAATCGGGGGAGGGTGTTACAGGCCTGGCAACCCAAATCACCTGACCCACCTCCATGAGGGGGCAGTCCTCGCAGAAGTGACCAAGTTACCTACACCTCCAACACCTCTGTCCCAACATTCGAGGAGCCCCCTGTGGGTTGGGAACTGTGTTGTGACGCCTGGGACCGGTGGAGGATATTAGCGAGAAAAAAAAGGTTTAGGCGGGGGAGATGATTATTAGGCCGAGCTGGGACAGGGTGCCTCCACGAACTTCTCCAAAATCAACTTCTCTAGCATCTTGCCCTGCACGATGGAGCCCCCAGCTGCAGCCACCGAGATGCTGAGCATACACAAAGAGTCGGTCTGTGGGCCCCTGCCTGGTGTCCTGGTCCTCCCACGGCATCAGCCCCGTCTGTCAAGGACCATCCTGTTCATGTGTTGATATTCCCCCCTCATATCCCACCCCATCTGAGCCCTCCCTGTCATCAGGGGAGGAAGCCACACCGCCCACTCCTCTGACAGCCAGCCACACGCCTCCAACGTCGAACATTTCTTCGAAGGACTGCGGATTTTCTGCCTCAGACATTTTGTGGAGGTTAATGCAAGCCAACGGAGGGAGCTGCAGTGGACAACAGAACGACTGCCGACTGAGAGAGGAGCTGCTTGTGAGGTTGAGTTAAAGCAGGAGGACCCAAGTTGCAAAGATGGAAAAGGTTTAACAGAAAGTGTGCTTTAATGAGGCAGGGTTTTTACAAACAGGCAAAAATCGAAAAACAGAAAAAAAACAAGGAAATCCAAAGGCTTACAGCAAAAAAACAAGTAAACACCAGGATATACTAGGAACTCACTTGAGAGGGAAAATGGAGGCAAAGCAATGACAGGGTGGAGAGACAGCCATGTAAGACAACAAACTGACTCACACAAAGAGAAGCACAGAGACTTATATACACAGGGGAGGCAGGGGTAATTGGACACAGGTGAAACATATGAGGAACTGGTGCAGACAATCACAATGGCAGGAAACAGGACAAAGACAGGAAGTAAAGGTGAGAAACACACAAGGATCAGAAACTACAAACTAAAACAGGAAACAGAACTCGCAGAAAATCAGAAATGCAAACACAAGGAAAATAAAGATACAGGCAAAAACAAACAAGGAATCTATAAACAATGAAAACACTTTTCATTAAAAAGGCAAAGGTCCAAAGAATAAAGAGCCCAGAGTCATGAGTCTATAATCTTGACACTGCTCCAGCTCGCCTGACTGCCTCTCTGCCTGGGTCTGGATCAACCCCTGGAACCGCAGACTGTTCTCTGCCTGTTCCATCTGCATGGCTGCGATCTCCCCCAGCGTCTGGCCGAGGTTGTTCAGTGTGACAGATGCCAACTGTTAACTGTGGGTTCCCTCGTCAGTGAACTACCAGGACTTGAAGTTATTGTCTGAAACAGACACCTTCGACCCGTCATCTGGCCGTCTTTTGATACACGCTACTGTTGATAAAGGGGAGAGAGGGATTAGCCAACGTAGAACACCTGTACACAATCAGACTCCCTCCATGATATCTCACTCCTGCAGCCGATGCTGATCACACCCCACTAACACAAAGTGCTACATGGGGTCTACTCCTGTAATATATTGTTTTATATCCTAATGCGATGGGAAGTTGTCTTGTAAAACAACATAAAAGATCTTGTGCATGAATAGGACATTAAGACTAGCCCGTGTCAAAAATCTGTAGCATTGTAAATGTTACTACAAGAGAATTTCAATACCTATTTTACACATTTATCTGATATTGTTCTCCAGATGATGGATTTTTCTTGGTTGTATCACCTGAGCTCAACTTACAAAGATTGTAGTAGTGTAAATAATGTTATGTAATGTCTATGTGGTAAATTACCTGTCCAGCATGTACAACTCCTGAGGATACCATGACCTGAATGACTGAGAACCTTCACTGATACATGGCCTTTATCTTTTCCTCATCGTGAACACAATTGTGTGCCTAAACCAAATCAAACCATTACAAACAGTGGAGACAGATCCACACACAGCCTGGTTTCATCATGTTATGTGGAGGGAACAGACCAACCACTGTCTTCATAGATGATTAAAAACCATGAATGGGGAATTTTAGAATGGAAACAACATATGTTGTAATTTACTATGTTACATATGTGGTGACCTCAGGACGTCTGGGGATGACACATGCTGATAAATAAAGTCCTTCCAGTTGCTCACTATTCACCACACTTTACTCCTACAAACACAAACCATCACAAAGTATTAAAATATTTAATGTTTACAGTGTGTCTGCAAAGAAATTGAATATGTGGGGGAAAAAAACAAATCTGCTCCAGTCTGCTTGATAAACTCGACTTGAACCCTGGAATCCAGCTGTTCATGATGTTATTTCCGTCTCAAAGTCTGATTATAAATTATTGATTGACAGCGCTAATGGCTCACATTGCAACGTGCATCTGTCTCTATTCTCTTTTCAGACACCGGTCCCTGGGCAGCTGAGCAGTAATGGTGCATGATGGGAAAAATTGTGCAGGACTTGAAACCACAGGGGGGGCCGTGGGACACCCAAGCAGTGTTTGTTGTGAGATTGTGTCTTACAGCAGTGTATAGCTTGGTTTAGTGGGTGTACTTGTGTTGTCTTTTTGTTCTGCAAAGCAACTTTTTCCTTCCACCACTTTTCAGCGATGCGTGAAACAGCGAGGTCCCTCAGACAACTGAGTCGACTTCTCGCTGCGCTGAACAGAGCGGGTCACAGACTGCGTTTTCAGGCTTTAGTGAAAGTTCAGCATCTCCTGACAGAACTGGGACAAACAAGAGGGAGATATTATTTTAGTGTGTTCTAAGCAAACCACAGTGAGTGTGCACTATTTACAGAAACCCCACTAAGAAAAATGACTAAGCTCCTGCAAGGATCAGTTCAGATCTATACCCTAAATGATGCTACTTAGCTCTGCCAGCTAAGTCATTAATCAAAAGGTCAATCCAGACTTTCATTTCAGGACTGTTTAGGAAAATCAATGGTAAATTAGCATGTATTTGTGGTTGTTGAGGAAAACAATTGATTATTCAATGAATCAGATGGAGTGGTCTCAGAATAGCAAATAAGACGAACTAATGACCAACGAGTATCAAAGGGAGCAGTGAGTGGCTCAGTCTGTCTGTGTGTGTTCACTTAATTAACCTGGAAGTAAACAGCCCTGTGGAAATGGTGGGATATGCAACATGGAAAATAATCCACAGTATATTGATATTCATTTCATCAAACAAATCTGGATACATTTTAGTTCTGTAATATTTAATGGGCTTATTCCTGATATACAGTAAATCATAAAAATATGCTCACTGACTGCTCGTTAATCCCACCTCTCTGACTACAGCACGTTTGAGATGGACTTGGTCTGACTGAGGCTGAAGCTTGAGCTGTCTGCATGAGATGCTGGTGGGTTTCAAGAGTGGAGTTGAAGAAAGGCAGCCATCAATCAAACCTATTTCGCAAAGTTTGCTTTTTACATCACAGAGGCGGCCCCAAGGTGCTGCTGCTGGAGAAGAACATGCAGCCGGCTTGCTCCTGCAATGTTTTGCAGCTCTGGATGAAGTCAGACAATCTCCAACCAGCATGAATTGTGTGAGGACCAGCATGCATCACATTAAGTCAGCGGATGGCCAAGTTAGGCCAAGACTTTGAATTAGTTGAGTTGAGATTTTTCCAAAAATGTAAATTCTGCATTCTGGCATGGTGATTGGCTGCCTTGCAATGTAACCAGCATGTAACCATCTATGTTGGCGACGCAGACGAGAGCAGGCTCGGTCCCATGTCTCTTTAACCACCAACACACCAAAACCCTTTTTAAACCTGGAGTTTGTAACCTTGTTAAATATTAGGGGGTGTTGATTGTTTTCTGGGTTTTACTCTCCAGCTAATTTTGTTTGTCATGTTGATCTTTGATGCTTGTGAAGCCTGAGTTATGATTATTTTTAAGCTTATTTCTATTAATCTGTTTTAAAATGAAGGCTTTATCCAAGCAACCAGTGTCCCTGTGGCTGCAGGGACATTAAGAGTCTATTTCATGTTGTGTCCTGGTCCCTATTTACAGTACAGGGATAACACTGCACCACATCCAAGGCTAAGAGCGAGAGCATTATAAAGTAATATTCATAACAATTCATCAGAATAAGATGGCAATACTTTCACAAGTTAAAAAAAGGAAGATAAAAGTTAAATTAAGAAAGTCTGTGTCTTAAGAGGGGACTTGGGAAATGACCTGATTCCTCACACAGATCGTTCCTGAGCCTCTACGCTGCCATAATAAATCCTCTGTCCCCTTTAGTTTTCAGCCGGATCTCTGGGTCAGATAACGGGATGATCCTCTTTTATCATCATTCTCCTCTAATTCTAACTTAAGCCTCATTTTAGATCAAGTTTGCTTCAGAAATGAAACGTTCTTCTCTATTTTTTATTGTGTTTGTTTAGTGGCAGAGAAAATGTGCTATCTGGAAACAAGGCTATAGGCCTCCTGCTTTGCACAACAGTAAAACTGGTGACCAGTTAGGATTCAAGGGCTTTGTATTAATTATATTTTGCCCACTTCGTCGAAGCTTTAGCTACAGAAATGGCATAAACAACAGATACTTATGGGTATTCTCAATGAAGTGAGGGGACCATTGACTTTAAGATGGATGACATGACGTCTCCTCATGAGCAAGGCCTAATCACCAAATCACCCCTTAGTGGCTGGCTGCAGTAGAGGACATAAACCTTGACTCCTCCATGT